TTGGGTTGGGTTTCAATCTTTACGTGGGTTGGGTTGGGTTGAATTTCAATAAAACCGATCGTGTTGGGTTGGGTTTGGGTTGGGGAAAAAATCGACCCAACCCAACCCACGCCCACCCCTAACTACCACCAACGCCATCACCACAACCACCGCCATCACCGGCATAACCACCATCACTGCCATCATCGCCACAACCCAAGATCAACTAATTAAGAAACCTAGGCACCCCCAAATCTGGCTTGACCACCATAATTTACGTCCAAAAATCACCCCTAAAATCATCTCAAAACCACGAAGCCATCGTTTATGCTAGCAATCAAAATAAACCACAAACCACAAACAAGAAGCCATAAACCATCGTGGTTGGTATTAATCATAAACTATGGCGACACAATGTCATTGCAAGCTACTCCCAACGAGGTCGCTGCGAGCGACGACATATAGCACCTTCTGCACTGGTTTTGAGCGGTGGCCTCGAGTCGCCGACGAATGATTGAATATCTATGTGTGGTTGCAGTGCCTCTTCGAGGGAGGAGAGGGACGTGTCGGCAGAGATGGGTGGTGGTGTGAGGCTACACCATGCTGTCTCATCATGATGGTGGTGTAATGTTGCGCTTCTGACATAGAGGAGGAGAGTGATGTCACCGGATTAGAGTGGGACGACGACCCCATGAGTGGTGGGGTTGGTAGAAAGAGTGAATATAGAGAAGATGGAGAGAGGGAGAAGAGTGGAAATGATTTTTAGGGTTTGGGAAGAAATTGAACTGGCGTAATAGGATGGGTGGGTGGTGGGTTTTATAATAATATTATTAATATTTAAAATGTTAATTATATCTTATTTTTTAAAGAAAAACTCGTAATTCTTAATTATGAATTCAGATATTTAAAACACGAAAAAGCATTAGCCCTTGTTTGGCATCAATTCTCTTTTTCATTCTCATTCTCTGTTTTCATTTCAACCACATAATCTCTAAATAAAATAATGAGCATGTTTGCCCAATATTAAAATCCAATTTTAATTGAAAATATGGCCGTTATTGGGTCTCACTCGTTTAATAAAAGTCAACAATAGCGACTAATTTTTTAATTTTAATCCAATTTTAATCTCTACCGAACACGTCCAATATTAGATACAAATTTAAAATTTTTCATCACTTTTCCACTATATATTCTCCCATCAATTATTATTCCAAAATTTTTCAACCCACACTCCCTTAGTGTACCGGCTTAATGACCAGGGCAAAAACGGGAGGCTTCATTGAGCCGGGGCATAAAGCACGGCTCACCCCTATCGTACTGTGCAATCTTCTTCCCACCAATTCATTTCTATTCAAATCCCCCATTTTCTTCTTCTCTGCCATTCTTCTCTCCGTGCGATCACATAAACCAACACAGATATATATAGAGAGGAGAGAAAGAGAGAGAGAATAGAAGCAAAATATTGAAGAAAATGCCGATAGAAATGCCCAAGGGGCTGCAATTTTCGGTGGACACGTGGACACCATCTTCAAGGAGGAAGAGGCACCATTTCCTTACCCATGCCCACAAAGACCACTCACAGGGGATTACTACCTACGCCTCTTACCCAGTCTACTCCACCAGGCTGACCAAAACTCTGCTTCTCCAAAATTACCCTCAGGTCACTTTAATTTTTCTCATTTGATCCATTTTCGGTATTTTATTTTTATAAATCGATGATTTATTGTTGAATTATGTCGGGGAACCTTTTTTGTTCTTGGACAGCTTGACGAGTCATTGTTTGTGGATTTAGAGGTTGGGCAATCTTTGATTGTCGAGGATCCCGATTGCGATTTCACAGTAACAGCGTTTGATGCCAATCACTGTCCGGGTATGTATTTTTTTTTCCTTGTTCGAAATTTGAATAAAAAAAGCTTCTCAACAATTGTACTTTTTGTTAATTTTTATTACTTTGTAACTATTAATTAGTCTAGGTCTTATTGTTTCTATGCTGTGACTTTATATGATTTGATTTATTCTTTCATCTGATGGATTTTGAGTTCATGTTTGATTAGGATAGGGAGTTTGATTTAACTGACATTTATACCTTTTTCAAGAACATAACTAATGGATTGTGTTGGAAAAATTAATTGGTAAGCAAGCAATTATAAAGTTTCCTACTATCATGTCCTTTATAGACAAATGTGTGTTTTCTATTAGCTTTTTTGTGCTAATGAATCCTTTGGTATAATTTGAGAAGTGATCAAAGCAGCTTAAAACGGTCTAGAGACTTTAAATCAAAGGGGGGAATAATTGATTAAGTCATGACGATTGTTTTAATCAGAAAGCAATAAAATCTGGTAAGGAATTGAAATTTATGCATGTAAAAATTTTGAATTTGAATGCCCTTATCTAGAATTGCAATGACTATTATCTACTGTCTTTTATAGTGTTGTAGGTTTATATTATTATACAAAGTCTGCGTGTTAGGGTTTTATATCTTCCTTTTGCTTGGATAAATTATTTAGAGGCGTATCTTAATTCTTAAGTATTTATTCTCTGCTTTGATGTTAATGTCTTTTCTAAACTGTTCCCATTGCCCGTAATATTGATAATGAACTTCTGAAGTGATTTATAATGTGAAGAATTATTGATAGAAATTCTATCCATGAATTTCAGGAGCCGTCATGTTCTTGTTTGAGGGAAATTTCGGTAACATTTTACATACAGGAGATTGCAGGCTGACCCCTGAGTGTTTGCAAAGCTTACCAGAGAAGTATATTGGCAAGAAAGGGAAAGAACCCAAGTGTCGACTTGATTATGTCTTCTTGGATTGCACATTTGGTCAATGTTCTATGAAGATGCCCAGTAGGCACATCGCAATCCAACAGGTATAATGATCCGTCCTCGAATTTTATTCTGCTACATATGGAAGCTGCAAACACCAGTTATGAAGTGGTGCCGTAACTAGAAATTGAACGTGTTGGGACCTATGAAATTGGTAATAAGAGGTTAGCATGTTGTAAGGGACAAGTTGAAATTTTACACTTAAATAGCATTTTATGAACATTGTAACTGAAGGGACAATATCTGACCACACGAAGGTTTCATTTTTATCTTCAGCTAGATTTTTTTTTTTTTTTGAGAGAGAAAGAGGGAGGGGGGGGGGGGGGGGGGGGGGGGGGGGGNGGCGCTCTCTGGTCCCCTGTTGAGAATGATTTTGGTGGGCTGAACCTTTTAAGTATTCTTTTTTTTTTTCCCCTCTGTTTGGCAAAATATATAAATCATCTATAATTGGTCAAACTTTATTTTCAACCATTCCAATATCCATCCCTCATTTCTATCTTTTATAAATCTACCCAAATGGAGGCTTAAATTTAGCAGCCAGACATGAGGTTGAGTACTGTTCAATTGAAGGTATGAAGGATGAAGCTGGTTGAATTGTTTATCAAACAAGTGGTTGAGGTTGTCTTTATTTTCTGAGATAGTTTAAGCCAATGAATTGCATAATCCTTCCAAGCTGAAATGTTTTGGAGTAGAAAGACATTATGTGCTTGGAGAAAAATACTATGTTTAATCATACTTGCTCATGTTTTTGTATTTTGTGTCTCCTGCTTTTCAAATGTTGCTCTAGTTGAGGAAACTGTAGCCAATAAGATAATCCTGTTAGTGATGAAGTAGAGATATCATATATCTCCTTTGTATATCATTGTGTAGTTTGTAGAGGCAATTAACTCTCCTGCAAACATATCCGGGAAGGATTAAATATATGATAGGGTTACCTGATATAGAGAATTTTGATGATTATAGTGTTTAGAAGTGATACATGTTATGGCATGAAATTTTTGGTGGAGAAGCTTGTAATTGCTGGTAGGAAGATGTTTTAGCAGGTGGTTTCTAGGCATTTCCACCAAGTCTTATTTGGGATCATTAGAACACGAGGAGAGGAAAGTTTGAAACCTTTTCTACATGCTTAAAAATTTGGATTCCTGGGAGATTTTGTGATCTCTTAAAATGTCAGGAAGATATCTGGACTTAATTTCTTGTGTAACTTATGAACTCTTGTTTCCCCTGGATATGATTAATAGCTTGAAAGCTTAAAATATGCCCAATAAATGAGTGCCGAAGCTTATATTACTACCGAGAGAGTTATCTTTGTCCCAATTGATATATTTGATTACTGTTGCCATTTGATATCATGTCAAACATTGCTTATTCCTCTTTCCCTCCTCCTATATGTGTTGTACATGCACACGTTGTAAATAATTATGTGTTGAGCAAGTGATGGGCGCTTTCATTAAGTTCAGGAACGTTAGCTTATACAAAATCTCTTTTTACTGTACAGCATGCATTTCTGGTTACTGCATTGATAAAAAAAATCATGCTCTCTTATACATCCCCACACGGTTGAATAGCAGATTATCAATTGCATATGGAAACACCCCAATGCCCCTACAGTGTATTTGCATTGTGATCTTCTCGGTCAAGAGGAGATACTTGTGGAAGTGTCGCAAACATTTGGTTGCAAGATATTTGTCGATAAAGCAAAACATCCAGAATGCTTTAATGCCCTGGAACTTACAGCTCCAGAAATTCTGTCACAAGATTCGTGCTCCCGTTTCCAGTTAGATGGATTCCCCAAACTATATGAAAAGGCTGAAGCAAAAATTGCCGAGGCTCGTGCTAATTATCAGCAGGAACCTCTAATAATACGCCCTTCTGCGCAGTGGTTTGCATGTGATGAAGGTTTTTCACAGACTGAAAAGAGGAGAAAAGAAAGACCCGATCAAGCTGTCAGGGATCTTTATGGTGTTTGGCATGTATGTTACTCGATACACTCGTCCAGAGAAGAATTAGAGTGGGCTCTGCAACTTCTTGCACCCAAGTGGGTTGTGTCAACAACACCTAGTTGTAGGGCTATGGAGCTGAATTATGTTAAGAAACACTGCTTCAAAAATCAAGGAGCTTCTGATGACTCCTTATGGAAACTTCTGGACATCGGTGTAGCAGCATCATCAGTGGCTTCAGACATATCGAATAAAAGCTTGAGTGGTTCGTCTGAGGTTGAAAAGACTTCCGAGAGCTACGTAGAACCTCAATCTGAACCGATTGTCATATCTAGTAGTCAGAGAAAACGATTGAGTGTGTCTCCTCCAAGTAAAAGACCCATCACATTATTCGGAAAAGCAAGGCTTGGGCTCCAGGAGTCTGTTCTTGGCCAAGATGTGGAGGAAATAGTGTCCACGAGTAGTAATCATGCAGAGAGAGTTTCCACTGAAACAGTAAATGCATCGTTTCAACAGGATGAAGTTGTTGAAATGAATAGTGTAAAGTCGTTGGAGATAAAGATTTCGGTAGGCTTTAAGGAAACAAAATGTCAGTCAACAGAGATTAAGAAATGTGATGATGTTTCACCCATTGGATCATCAAAGAGCTATAATGCAAACTTGAGAAAGTTTTACCGGTCTATGAATGTGCCAGTACCTCGGCCACTCCCGTCCCTCGTGGAGCTTATGAAGCTCAACAAAGGTGCCAAGAGGAGGCAATGATCTCTTTCTTTCTCGTTGAAACATTCAATTGCATCAGTTATACTGTAGTCGTCCAAATTTTATAAGCCATTAAGTGCGTGAATGGCTTTGGAGTTGCCTGTTGGCCGCTGGCCACTCTACACTGTGATTCTGATAATGGCGACGACCCTGATCAATTTGTTGTAGATCATCAGTGGTTTTCTCTTGTTAAGTGCACAGTGAAGAGAAGCAATTCAATAATTAAGGGCCTTCGTGGCTAATGCCATTCTTTCACCATGATTTTTCGCTTTGATTACTGTTTTTTTTTTAACATTAGGGACAGAGCTGTCAATGCTTATTGATTATTGTTTATTGTTTATTGTAAATTTTAAATACTGGCAGCACTTTTAGTTGCCAGTATTATGTACATTTGGGATTGTCTTCATTCTTGTTTGGTAGAAATTAATTAGAGTTTCATCCTCTCAAGGTTGAAAATGAGCAAATTTAGGTGAACCAAATCTCGAGAGCTGAAGTTTTGTTTATCATTTAGTATTGGTTCGACTTCATATTTAACTTTTCCTTTTTCTTTTTTGCTTATACGTGTAATATTATTTTATTGAAAACTGATAAATTTTCAAAAAATGGGGCTCAAACAACCTTGGTGATCTACATGACAACTTCTTCCTCTTTTCATGCAAGCACCCATTGGGAATTTGATTTTCCATCGTTATTCCGAATGTTAATTTGACTAACAAAATTGACTTGGAGAGTAGATGTGGAAGAAACAAATTGATTTGAATTAACTTGATTATACAAAATGTCATCTAGGCCGGCAACTACCATAGAAAACATTGGTTTATGATAAAATAAAGGATATCAAACGAGGACTAAATGATACTCAAATATTCGGAAAACATTCATGATTTGTGAACTAAATGATACTTAAAGTAGGAGAAATATTGATGACCAACTTGTATCAAAGCAATAAATTGTAAACCAATGATGCAATTTCTCATGATTTGTGAACGTACACAACGAAATATTGATGACCAACTTGTATCAAAGCAATAAATTGTAAACCAACGATGCAATTTCTCCTACTTTAAAAGAGAGAGAGAATTATAGATGAAAAATAAATATAAAATAAAAGACTAATTGATGTGCTATTTTGGTTTGGTTTCATTTGGTTCACTTTGATTGGTCACTAAACAGCAATTGGTACCGACGCTTTCGTTTGCAGAAGAATGGCAGATATTTCAAACCCTCCTTCCTCCGATCTGCCCATCACCACCACGACGCCTCCACCTGCCGCCGATGAAAGCAACCCCTTAACTTCTACCCCATCTACAAGAATGGTAGGCCGGGCAGAGTGGCCCACAATCGATGGTCCACTGGGGCTCTCACATCAAGATTCGGTCGCTTACGCCCGCAGATTCTTCAATTTTGGATTTTTCTTTCTTCCTTTCCTTTGGGCTGTCAATTGCTTCTATTTCTGGCCCGTCCTTCGCCACCCGAATTCCCGTAATTCACACCCACAACTCCGCCGCTGTAAGCCTCCCCATCTCTCTATATGTAAAATTATCTGCATGCGTTTTTCTTCTCAGTTGATTTTTAGTAGTTTGGTGAAGAAATTTACACATTTGAGGTTTTGAAGAGTAATTATATTTTTTGAGTGGTTTTTTGACTAAAATAATTTAGGGTGTGGTGTGTGTTTAGACTAGAATTTTACTTTAAAAATGGTTTCATGTGAAATGTGGATTTCATGGGGAATTTCATGTCATTGGGGATTTTTGCGCATATAATTTTTGATCAGTGTTTTGTTCTCGGATAATTAATTTTGAGGGGGATTACCCACTTTGCATGCTCATTAAGTTCCATAAATTGATAAAAAAAAATTGGGTACAATGTATCAGAAAATGCGATGTATGCATTGTGATTAAGATCATTTTTTTAAATTGGACTAATATATAACTTTTTGCGTAAAACGGTGTTTTAAGTAATAAATCAATATAAGAATCTAGTAGATGGAAGTAGAGTCATTTTACCTTCTATGCAACTCGATTAATGGTCAAAACAATGCAATCATTTTGTTATGTTTTCTATGGATTTTGCTATTTGGACATAGTTTTTGTGATGTGATCATCCCTTTTTACACAAATCAATTTTAACCTTCTCCTGTCCACGGGAAGTTTATTTGATACTTGCACAATTTCACTCTTACTTTCTTCTATCTAAAGTGCATAGCATACACATGCTGTACAAAACAATCAACAAATGACATCAGATTTTAACTAGGAAGACTATTGCTTTAAGAATGTAATCAGTCAATAAGTGTTCCTTGCATTAGTTCAGCAATGGACACAAAGTTTAATGTTCTTTTCCCCCCAATTCTTTTGTCTTCCTCTGCTCATAAAATTAGCTTTATCAACTAACCACACTAGTTCAGCTATAGGCACAAAGTTTAATGTTTTTTTTTCTTCTAATTCTTTTGTCTTCCTCTGCTCATAAAATTATCTTTATCAACTAACCACACAATGGTGGCATCGAGTCCGAAAATGTAAGCAAGGACAATATTTGAAGGAATAGGTACTTCTCTTAGTTTAGATATTCATAAATGAAACCAGATGTCGGATGAATGCTGAAACAAGAATATAAATGATTGGACGAATTACTGCACACACTTTTGTTTTCAGCGAATTTTGAAGGATTACTTCGAGGTTTTGAAGAGTATTGGACGATTTATATGTATTGAGTGGTTTATAGTAAGTATACTAATTTTATGCAGTGTTTCGACTAGAAATTTACCCCAAGAAAGGTTCCATGTGAGATGACAAGGGTATTTTGTCATTGTGGATTTATGCGCATCTTTTTTTAAACAATTTTTCATTCTCAGATGGTAAATTTAGAAGTGGAACGCATAACTGCCCCTGTAATCTTACTAAGTTCCATTGATTGATAAAAAATTGGGTATAAATGAATAATGCTACCTCAGAAATCGTATTGATTACTTTGTGATTAAAAACCTTTTTTAATGAAGTAGAAAATATGAAATCACTGTTATTGTAAACGCGAGTTGTTTTGGAAATTATTTAAAGAATAATCATTTTCAAAGCAATTTGTTCCAGAAGAGCTCAAGGATTCCTCCTTGGAGGCAATATTTTTAAAAGACATTTGAAATAAAGTCGTTTACCTTCTATGTACATTTAAGCTGAGTACTAGCTCATGATCGAAGTCCAATATCAGTCATTAGGTTTCCTTGTGTATAATGCAATAGAAACTGAACGTATAATGTGAATAGCTTTAACCTGAATGCATTATGGTTGTGCATTTAAGGTAAATAACCTCATTTTTGGTATCTAAATGAGGTTTTTGAAGTACCTGGGTTTTTGGAATATCTACTGTGTGCTTGTTTGGTTGGTGATTATATTATAATTATTTCAGGTCATACATACTTTTTATCCACACATTTTGTAGTATCCACAACTACTACCCGCTTATTCCATGGGATCCACAACCTATAATCACTTAAATTCTAATTTAATTGAAAATCAAGCAAACCAAATATTCACTGCACTATATTGTAAGATTTACGTAAATCAAAATTTCAAGTACTTGATAATGGGACATGAATTTTATCAGTGTAGCGCAACACAGCCACATTCCGAGCTCTTAATAACTACCATTCATAGAAAAGTTATTGTGTCCTAACTATCTAAATACTATTAGCCTAGAGCTTCCTGTCAAATACCCTTTGGCTTTGTTCTTCTGGATAAATGTGATGAGCATATTTGGGAGGGGTAGTTTAGGGAACTTGGAGAATAATTATGTAATATCCAAGTTCATAAAGGGGAGGAAAGGGCATTCTGTAGGGGAGACAGAAATTAGGGTCTCAATTGCGAGAGAGTGAACCTCTTGAATGCTCACAGTTCATTGTAATTCCTTTCAGTTTTCCGTTCAATATATAGATAAAAACAAAATACAAATCAGGCTCCTATCAAATGCTTCAAAGGGTTCTATGCCTCTGACCGTTCTTTTGTGGAAACTCTGTTTAGGTTATTTACTTTGTTACATCTTCTAAAAGTTTTGCTAGTTGCATAAGTGTGGTCTGAGCATCCCTTTAAATGCAAATCAATACTCGCCTTTTTTCCTTATCCAAAAGGGTTTTCTTTGTTACCATTACGCTCTCACTTTCTCCTGTCTAGAATATGAAGCATACACATCTTGAACATGTTTTGCTAAGCTTAAGAAAAAAAGTTACTTTAAGTGACATCTTGTTTCTAAAATGCTTCGATATGATAAAAAAAATTACTTTTAAGGGAAAAGTTATTTTCTATTTTAAACTTCAACAAATTAAGAATTATTTATTTTAAAATTTATGTATTTATGAACTTGTAACTTGCAAGTGATTTTTTTAGGCTCAGCCAACATGCTTCTTACTTCAAAGATAAGCATTCAACATCTGAAAACAAAATATCTAGGAAGACCTATTGCTTTTAAGAATATTATCAGTTGAGATATTTTTTGTTGATTTAGTTCAGCTTGAGACGTGATGGGTTTTTTTAAAAAAAAAATAAATATTCTAATCATTTGGTATTTGCTCTACTCATAAAATTAACTTTATCAACCAGTCAAACATTGGTATTGAATCTGAAGATAATTGTAAGGCCAATTCATATTGAGGGGAAAGATACATTTGTCGGTTTAGATGCTCGTAAATAAAACAAGACTTTGGTTGAATGGTAGATTTTTTTTTTTTTTTTAACAATGACACAGAATATCTAGGACAATTAACCTGCTCTAATCTATTCCCAATTACTTTTTACTGACATATTCGCACAAATACTCTTTTTTTATTTGCTCGAGTTATGCAAAGTCCAAGTTATTGCTAACTGTTTGGATAGTTTCGTCTCTACATAAAAATTGTTTTGGTGTACAGGACTTGATCATATTTTGTATACAGAAAACCATTTCTTTTTGAGAAATGACAATAGAATGGATAATTGGACTTGTCTTCTGAATTTCATGATTTTGTCTCATATACCATTGAGCACCCCAAAACAATATCTTTTATAACCCTGAAATTCAAAGGGAAAGTTAGTTAGTCTTGATGCTGCCTTTTCTTCTAATCTGGAATAGCAACCACCCTCCTCTTCTAGACTACTTGACTGATACCGAATATCTCTGTGGAAAGAGAATTCACGTACAGCAATGATAAGATATTCTCCATCCACATTTTCATGTTCTCCTACCTGTGAATTTTCTTCGGGTGTAGGGGTTAAAATAAATTGTAGTATCTCGAGTTGATTTACCAATTCTTTTGCACAGATGTTGTTGGATCAGCAATTGGCTTCCTGGTGTTTGCCCTGATCCTCTCTTCATGGTCTGTTACCTTTATGATTGGTGGGAAGCAACTATTCGGCCCTGCGTGGGATAAATTAGTTATGTACAATGTTGCAGATAGATATGGATTAACCGGATTGATCTAGATCTACATGTTAGTGGTTTCAGTTCCATAATCTACATGAATATAGTATGTCGTTTCTTTTGCTGATGTGAACGTTGAAGTTACTGCATTGTACAACATAACAATGTTAATTTACTGATGTTGTTCTCCTTGGAGGAGTTAATTCATGAGCTAAGGAACCTTTCCTTATTAACATGGTTGATGCACCATTGCTGAATTCGGGTTCATGGGGGTAGAAAGGAATATCCAGTAGTAGCCTTGTGGCATGATTTCATAACTCTTCAGCTGTCTCGAAAGGGTGGCCGGGATGATACCCGGATCCTGTTTTGTCTTGAAAGCGGAGAATTCAATCGGAACATAAATTTATTTGTTATATGATTTTAATTGGATCATCAAGATTAATGTAGAACGTAGAAATTCCAAAATCAAACAGAATAGACATTTTCTTGTCGTATGTTCTAAGAGGGTTTTCTTATGAAACAGTAGGAACTAAAGAAAATCAATGAAGAATGTTCCTTGGTATTACCTTACTATAAAACAGGATTTTGTTATGTATTGTCTAATCTGTCTACCGAGAAGTAACACGAAATTGATAAACGAAAGTATAAAATGTACTCATTGTGAGAGTTACGTCTACTTATCTTTAAAGGATTTCATGGTAATATTACGATATGTTTTAAAATTTATGTATTTTTGATGTATGTCCATCACAAAGGATGCTCGTTCTAATATACTTTATGTACATAGGAATTATTAATACGAACTAATACATGAACAAATTTTCCAAGCATCAGGTCGATTGGCAGTTAACAAAATGTGTAGTATATTTAGACCCCGTTTGGCCCCCATTATTTGTCGTTTTAATGTTTGGATTTTTTTTTTTTTTTTTTTTGAGTTTACATGTAATATTGATAGGAATATAAAATACACATTTTACATCTTTATTTAATGCGCTCATATAACTATTTTATGCCTAAATGTACTTAGTATTCTCATATTTTGGTTTAGGTGGCAATTCGATGGATATGGCATAAGTTGGAAGAAATGAGGGGAAAAAGACCAAAATGAAAGAAAACGAAAGTTCGGGAACCAAAGTGCAAATATTCAAAAGTTATATCGAACATCACGATGAAAACTTGAGAGTTCTAGAGGCCAATTGGATGAAGAAAGAAGTCAAAGGGATGAGATATAACCAAGACATTATCACATATCAACTTTCAAGCTGAAAAGTTTTGCACC